AGACAAAATGATGCAACTTAATTTTATTAGGACAGGGCTGGTGAACACTGGAGTGCCACTTTTTCGGTCCAGGAGAGGCACTGGGTTAGGGGTCTCAGGGATGCCACCTGGCAGCTAGAGGCCACAGCTGCCCTCCACAGAGCGGCACTTCACAATGCGCAGGAATGTTGCGAACTTGTCCATGTCTGTCCGGAAGCAGTAGAGCAGCCTGTAGTACTTGAACAGTGTGTCATCGTTGTACAAGTTGATGTCCAGGTTGCTGTAGGTCTGCCTGGAGATCTCCCCAGTCTGGGAGCTGCCATCTTCCAGCCTCTGCAAAGTGGAGGAAGAGAAGGAGAGGCCAAGCGCTTGGACACTCTTCCCTCCCTCTCTCACTCATTCTTTCTCCTCCCTCCCCTCCAAGGCTCCAATGTGTAGAGAAAGGGCTGGAGGATTCACGGGTGGAAATGAAGAATAAGCTTTCTCCTGGGTCAGGGCCTGACTGCTAAAAAGATAGAAGCAGTGTTTCTTTCCCCCAGCTCTGGAAGCTTGTGGGGACCCAGGATTGGGGACTCCTGGTGCCACCCTCACCCCCATCAGAGTTTGGATGACTTCCTCTAGGTCCTTCAGGTACTCATAGATGAATCTGTCCAAGAAAGTATGCAGCGGGCTGTAGCCAAAGGCACCGCTGAGGAACTGCACGGGACTGAGCCACAACAGGATGAGCTGCTGGGAGGTGCGGAGTAGCTGTAGGTTCTGCAGGGGAAAGACCGGCAGTGAGTGTGCTGCCCAGGGGCTCTGGCCTCCCCCAACCCTGGCTGGTGGAGAGGGTGGTCACTCACAGATTTCTGCAGAGTTTCATTTTTGGTAGTGGGTGCTGGGACAGACGCTGAGAAGCAAAGGGAGGTACTGGCGTTATACAAGAAGAAATCCTTTTCTTCCTTCGGGCCATGAGCTTCTTCCAAGGAGAAGGACCGCCCATCAATATCAATGCTGGTGACCAGCTCCCATTGTTCCTTTTCTGGGACCTTACTCAGTGTATGCTCATCTGCCTGCATCTTCGATTCAGAAAACAATCCTGAGCTCCTTCGTCTCCTCCCTTTACTCCCCAGCAAGTCAAAGTCACCCCTTCCTGCCAACCCTGACATGCATCCATTTGTGAAGAGCTTACAAACTTCTGGTAGATGTTAAAGGCCAGATCCTGCAGGAGATGGGAGCGCGTCACAGCATAGTTATAAAGCGAGGATAAGGACATTGTTGGGAAGGCACCGGCCTCTCGAAGCCAGGGCAGGCAGAGCAGAGTGAAAATCAGGAACAGGGATGCCCGGGAGACTAGGAAGAAACCAGAGGGCCTGAGAGGGAGCCGGAGAGCCAGAGGGCAATTCTCTTGCTCAGGGGCTGTTTCTTTTTTGTCTCTCCCTCCAGGGACCAGGAACATTCTGAGACTGGCCAAATATCTGGGCTTAGATGGCAATACCCACATTCAGAAGCCCAAACCTGAGGGTTAGTGCCCCCGTCCCATCTACAGGGCACTGCCTCTCCCCTCAGGACATGTAATGCTGAAAGGGATTTTAGGGACCCTTACCTGCAGCCATTGCAGCTAGGTGAGCTGTCCACAGGACTCTCCGTGGTTTGGGGAGTTGGGCCTTGGGATCCTGGAGCTGGTCTCTCGTGGGCCCTTTTATACCCTGTCCCTTTCTCTCTCCCTGCTGGTCCCTACCTGTTTCTATGTATGTTTGGGCAAGGGAGGGTCACGGACATGCCTGTGCTAGTGGATAATTTAGAAGCTTCTTCCACACATGCTGGTATCATGCCCCCTGGCTTGTTGTTTTTCCCTTTCCACCGTCACCAGCGCTGTAAGGGTGGTACACAGAGTTACAGCCAGAGGCACCACACATCCTGGCCTCTCTTTAAGGGGCATGTGGGTGTTCTCTGGCAGTATGCCATGCTGGCCAACCTGAAGGCGGGAAAGGATGTCAGGATAGCCAGTCCTTGAGACCCACACGGACCCCATCCCACTCTCTATCCTATCCTTTTCCGCCTCCCCGCGTGGTTCCCCTCCACCCACCAGAGAGAGTGTGTGCTGGGAAAAGGGGCCAACCACAGCCAACAGATTCTGGGTGTTCTGGGGAAGATTCAGTCCTGAATTCCACTTTTGCTGAGTCCTCCTGGGCCGGCCTGAGGCAGCTGGATGCAGTGCTAACACCGACCACTAGAGGGAATCAATCACATACTTTGCCCTCCACTTTCCCTGAGCCTTGGGGCATTTGCAGTTCTGTGGGGACGAAGAACCCAGA